TTCGTCTGACACCATGTGGCCACAGAGTGGGAACTCATCCACTTTCGCCTTTTTCCGACCCAGGTCAAAGATGCGGATCTTGGCGTCAGGGACACCTCGGCAGAAGCGAGACTTTGGGTACGGCTTGTTCTTACAATACCGGTAACACCGGGCGGGGCGTCGACCCATGGCGACACCAGGATCTTCAGTGGCACGCCGAAGGGAAAGAGCTCTAGAAGATTTTTGTAATAAACCCAGTTGATGTTCATCGGACACTCTCAGGAAAATTTAACTTTGAATAGCAATTTAGTAGGGCCGAGGTTTTACAACTTGGTAAGTCAAGATATTCACTGGCAAAAACCTGATGAGGTGTAATGGGGAGAAGGAGCCAACATCTAGTACAGAAAATAGTCCCAAAGGTTAAAATCAAGAAACATGAGCCAGCATTGTATCAATGTTCAGTTAATCATTTTTTTCTCCAGTGACTATATAAATTCCAGTTCCTCATACCCTTGTGGAATCAGTTCTATCATTCTGCTGGTGACCTTACCAAGAGTAAGAGACTTAATATACAAATTAACGATGGGTAGACCATAAATGATCATAAAACTCTGACCCACATAAAAAACCAAGCCACAACCTTTGCAGCAATCAGCTCAGAATAGTCAGGATTTGCTCAAAGGCTGCCAACTTCCTTGATTTAGGCACATACATACCCACTCGAACACACGCACCAGAACTAATAAGAGAAAACCAAATATGCTCCCTAAACCAATCACAGAGACGCCCCATTTCTAGTTACTTCACCTCCAGCTCCCCTTGCCAACAACCTTTAATCACAGCATACCAGGAGCATCCCCTTTCTTTTCTTATTGTGCTTCGCGTCTTTTGCACTTCACAGTTGTTGCATATTTTACATATTGACGCCAAGACCCACCATCAGCAAAAAGATTACAACTCACTTTATTGCCATACTCACTTTACGCCAGTGGTCTGAAACGGAAACCACAATGTCTCCAAGGTATACGTGTAAAGCCTCCCCTCTTTCTGATTGCCTTTGTGTCTCTGCCAAAGTGATGGTGGCTGACATAGCAAGCTCTGTAGTCTCTGTTCTCATTTAAGTGTTCTTCATTTCATGCCCACTTGTGTGAAATAAAACTTCGACACATGCTCATTATCTAGTCACGTGAGAATGGAGCCTAGCAATTAGAGAATAATGCTTTTAACTAGATCTACACATGGAAAGCACTCAATGAATTATTAAAAAATAGACTGAGATACATCAAAAATTTGAAGTTTATTTGCATAAAAATAGATTAAAATCAAGTAGGCCCAAACCAAAAAAGGTTAGGGATACTCCACCAACAGGGAAAGGTGTTTATAGCTAAGACTCTGTAGCAAATCAAAGAAAGTATTTGATTGGCTATAGCTCAAGCCATTGCCTTATTAGGGAAGCCTAGTTGGTAGGTTGTGATTAGTAGTTCTTAAATTTCATTTTCTCAAATTCAAGTGTATTGACTCTGGCTTAGGTTTCAGTTTGCTTATGTAAGCTACCAGGCATTAGAGCCACCACAGTCTAATGGCCTCATTGTTTAAGTACTTTAACCAATAGCTCACAATTATTCCTTTACTTCTTTTTAAAAATATATGTTTTTATTGATTTCAGAGAGAGGAAAGGAGAGGGAGAGAGAAAAAGAAACATCAGTGATGACAGAGAATCATCAATCAGCTGCCTCCTGCATCTCCCCAAACCCCAATGGGGATTGAGCCTGTAACCCGGGCATGTGCCCTAACCCGGAATTGAACGGAGACCTCCTGGTTCAAGGATCAATGCTCAACCATTGAGCCACATGGGCTGGGCTCCTTTCTTTCTTTTTCTTTTTTTTATATTTATATTGATTTAAGAGAGAGGAAGAGAGAGAAAGAGAGAGAAACATGGATCAGCTGCCTCCTGCATGCCATCCATTAGGGACTGAGCCAGAAATCCTGGAATATGCCCTGATCAGGAATCGAACCAGCAACCTTTCAGTACACAGGGTGGCTCTCAACCAACTGAGCCACACTGGCCAGGGCAATTATTCCTTTATTTCAATGTCTTGTCTCATCTCAGCTAGTTGAAACAGATATTGGACAGTTAAGCCTCCTAATGCCAATATTAGAATGTTATTTATAATCCAAACTCCCCAATCTCTGTTGCCCATCATTTACCCAACTATTAGCTGTTATTATCATTGCCCAACTTGAAACCCTCCCCTAATCAACCCTAATTAGCTTGATTTCAGAAAATTCAAGATTTGGTGCCAGAAGCCGGTCCATCCTTGCTGCTTGACACAGTCACTGCAGGGAAGAAACATCTGCACAGCATATGTTTCAAGGAACCTGGTGTATATGACATACTGTTCTTAATATGTTTGCTCCCCTTCTTGGCGCTATGTGTTTTAACCAAGGTCACCTCTCCGAGAAAGATTGTTTCCCCAGGTAGGGATTTTTCCCTGAAGTTGGGGAGGGAATAAAACCCCTTAACTAAGTGCCAGGCAGGTAGTTAATCACTTTAACTACGAACAATCACCCTTAAGCTACATAATCTTTACTCCCTGGAATGGAGATAAGAAATGCCCTAACCTTTGGAATAGAAATTGATAGGATTAAAATCAACTGATATAAATACAGATGTAACAAGACAATAACACACAGAACTTGGCTGGAGAACCTGGCTAGAGAACTTGGCTATGATGATCGACTGAACACTGCCTCCGTGTCATTCCTTCCTTCTTCGCCAACTCCATCCACACCTTTGGGAACCCCTGGACCTGCTGGGGCTGGACCCCAACAATTTGGGATTAAATACATATTTTCATTCTGCCTTCTCATCCTTGTTACACAATATAGACACCATCTGGATTGCTTCTGAGGCAACCTCTAACTAGGGCTTAGGGAAGGCATAGGAAAAATATCCCACTCTGAGGTGTGGGACATAACTATTTATAAATTTTATAGAGACAGATTGCTACCGGAGGCCCACCCCCGCGGCCCGGGTGAAGTTTAGGTGGTGGCTTCAGAGACGGCAGGCTTTCCGGTGGTTCCAGCTCAAGCATCATGACGGGGAAGAAGTCTTCCCGGGAGAAGCGGCGCAAAAGGAGCGGCCCAGAGCCCAGCGAGCACCGGAAGCGGCGGAGCAAGGACTCGGCCTCCCGGGTGCCGGGCTCGGCGCCGGAGGAAGCCAAATATCTTCTACCAACTTTGGAAAAAGAATTATTCTTGGCAGAGCACAGTGATCTTGAAGAAGGTGGTCTGGACCTGACTGTGTCATTAAAACCAGTTAGTTTCTACATATCAGACAAAAAAGAAATGCTTCAGCAGTGCTTCTGTATCATCGGAGAGAAGAAGTTACAGAAAATGCTGCCTGACGTGTTAAAGAACTGTTCAGTAGCAGAAATTAAAAAATTATGCCAAGAACAGTTAGAACTCCTATCTGAAAAAAAAATATTGAAGATTCTTGAGGGTGACAATGGTATGGACTCTGAAATGGAAGAGGAGGCAGATGATGGCTCGAAGAAGGGATCTGATTTAGTCAGTCAACAAGACATCTGTACAGATTCTTCTTCATCCCTGAAAGAGAACAAGCAACCTGAAGGTCTGGAATTAAAACAAGGCAAAGGGGACGATAGTGATGTTCTCAGTATACATGCAGATGCTTATGACAGCGACATAAAAGGCCCATGCAATGAAGAGGCCGCTGCTCCTGAGGTCGCAGAAAATACAGTCCAGAGTGAAGCTGGTCAGATAGATGATCTGGAGAAAGACATTGAGAAAAGTGTGAATGAGATTCTGGGACTGGCAGAGTCTAGCCCAAAGGAGCCCAAAGCAGCTACCCTAACTGTTCCTCCACCAGAAGATGTTCAGCCTTCTGCACAGCAGCTGGAGCTGCTAGAACTTGAGATGAGGGCAAGAGCCATTAAAGCCCTGATGAAAGCTGGTGATATAAAAAAGCCAGCCTAATTATTTAATTTGAACCTGAATTTTAGGTGTGTTTGAACAAAGCCACATGATATGACTTTGTATCTGAAATTTATTTGGGTCTTACATGATATTTCTCATGTAACCCTTGTTAGATAAACTCAATCTAGACCTAAAATGCCTATGGCTATTTTTGTTGATGTTACTTTTATATTATATATGTGTTATTGTTTTATGAGTTCATGACAAATATTGTTAGATAATTGGATACTTTGTTAGATAAGTATTTTAGCTTGTCTGCAGATTAACATCTGAAAAGCCATTAGCAGAGTCATGGTAATTTTTTTCTTAATTTTTAAATATTTTGGTACCAAGCCTAAAAGCTTAAGAAAAATTGACTAAGCATGTTGCTCTTAAGACCACCTATATTTTGCAATGAAATATTAGATTAGTGCTCCTAGATTTGTTAACAATTTAAGAATTTTAGTTATGCTCATATGCACCTTGAAAATATGTATTATCTTGAAGATATATACCTTCTATGGTTGTGGATTTACTAGTAAAAACCGAGTAACATTTTTTACTGTAAGGCTTAGAGATCTGAAATGTCTGAGAAAAACTTATTTAATAAAGAAAAAAAGGACTTAATGTAAGTCAGTTTTTAATAATGTAGAGTAGTTGCCCAGCTTTAGTTCCAATAGACAAGCCATTCTGACAGGTATTTGATTTTTATTGGACACTTTGTTGAAGTGTTTTTCTTCACTAAAAAGGGAACACGTTTTCATTTTCATTCCAAGCTATCGGGAAGAGGAGAATATTTTATCATAGAGATGTTCGTCTGCTGTTTTTGCTTGGAGATCTGATGTGCTATAATTCCATGAATTAAAAATAATAGAGACTGTCATTCCGAAAAAAAAATTTTATAGGGACATGGCTATTTGTGTAATATACACAAAGTCTCAACCACTGATGCTCAAATAAACCTTTATTATAATTAAAACCACCTACATATTGGCATCCTCGGTATTTCAGGTCAGAAGGGTGTGGCTAGTGTCAATTTATATGAAGAATGATTCAAGTTACTAATGCAACAACAATTATGTCTTATCTCATGAATGCTTATAACACCCGCATACTTTTTGGTAGAAAGTGTGGTGGCTTCTTTAAGGAAATACAATTTGTATATTTTATAAAACATTCTTCTGTCCTGACCAATCCAAAACCTCCAAACCAAAGAGCACAACTCAGTATAACCACAGGATTAATTCCAATATAGTGGCTTTTTTTTACTATGATAAAATATATGTAACAAAGGAACCTAAAATTTACCATTTTAAAGTGTACAACTTGGTGGCATTAATTACATTCACATTATGCAACCATCATCACTATTTCCAAGATTTTTCATCGCCCCAAATAGAATTCTGTACCCATTAAGCAATAAATCTTCATTCCCTCCTCTCTGGGTAACTTTTAATCTACTTTCTAGCTCTATGAATTTGCCCTTGTTCTAGATATTTTATGTAAGTGGAATAAACATTTTAAATTTTATCTTTTTGTGTCTGGCTTATTTCGCTTGATGTAATGTTTTCAAGATTCATCCATGTTGTAGCATGTATCAGAACTTCATTTTTTATGTAGTGGCTTAATTTTGTGTTTTAATTTCTTACATTATAATTGTTTGGAAGAGGAAAATTGAAGTAAATAAATTTACTTCATTCTGCCATCAAATAACTACTGCCTTACAACTCCCCTCACCTGGCAATCTATCTCAACTAACTAGACACGTAAATTCTTAAAATAGCCGACAAAGCAAGTTAACCCATATCCACAATAAGGAACTAAAGTATGTACTTTGCTTATCATCTGTCCAGGGGTCCTCAAACTACAGCCCGCAGGCCAATGCAAATACAAATATTGTATTTGTTCCCGTTTTGTTTTTTTACTTCAAAATAAGATATGTGCAGTGTGCATAGGAATTTGTTCATAGTTTTTTTTTAAACTATAGTCCGGCCCTCCAACGGTCTGAGGGACAGTGAACTGGCCCCCTGTTTAAAAAGTTTGAGGACCCCTGGTCCTAGCATTAAAGAACTCTCCTCCCTTGGGGCCTTTCCTACCTCCAATAGCTTTTCATCTACATCCAAGTCAGATTCATGGAAAAGGAAGTTTGAAGACCTGAAAATCATGCCTACTCATTTTTCAAACACGTAAAGAATTAAAATGTTGGCTCCTCTGAATTATAGATATTAGTGTGAAAAACCATACATTTACACACCTTTGCTCTCTTGCAAAGTTGCTGCATGATGTACAAGAATCACACTATTAAACTCAACAAACATAGAGAACATAGGAATTGTCATGAAGTATAAAATGACATATGAAAGGTGCATATGACAAGGTGTTATGGGAACACATAACATAAAATTATTAAAGGCCCTAACCGGTTTGGCTCAGTGGATAGAGCATCGACCTGCAGACTCAAGGGTCCTGGTTTGATTCTGGCATATACCTTGGTTGCGGGCACATCCCCAGTGGGGAGTGTGCAGGAGGCAGCTGATAAGATGCTTCTCTTTCATCAATGTTTCTAACTCTCTCTCCCTCTCCCTTCCTCTCTGTAAAAAATCAATAAAATATATTTTAAAATTATTAAAGAAGTCTTCACAAAGGTGGTTTTAGTCACGTCTTGTAAAAGAAGTAGAAAATAAGTAGATTTCCAGGCGTGTGTGATTAAAGATAGCCCCAAATTCTTTACCAACCCTCCTCCTGAGAGACAAATTCCCATTAACTTCTGTTTAAATCTAGGCTGGCCTTCGTAACTTGTTTAACCAATAACATGTGGTGGAAGTGATGTTCTAGAACTTCTGAGGTTAGGTCATAAGGCTTGCAGCATCTGCCTGGGAACCCTGGATCCATCTGTGGGAGCCCTGGTCAGCGCCCCATCTATGTCCATTACCTGAGACCGCAATGCTGGAAAGGCCACATGTAGGAACTGTGGTGGACAGTCTCAGCTGAGGCCAGCCTTCCAGTCATCCTCGCCTAAGTGTATCATATGAAAGACTCTGTTTTAGACTTTCTAGACCAGTCCATCTACCAGTTGAATATTCCCAAGTGGTCCGTCAATACCAACAGAAGAGTCATCCTTGCTTGCTGAGTTTTGCTTCAATTCCTGATCCTCAAAAATCATAAGATACAGAATAATAAAGTGGTTTCTGTTTAAAGCCCCCCGAGTCTTCAGGTAGTTGGCTATGCAGCAACACATCACTGCATCATCAGGTAAACAAGTGGGGAAGAACATTCCACATAAAACACACACACACGCTATGCTCCAACCACACCGAATGAACTCTATTGTTTCCTACGTACACTTTGCCCAACTGTCTCCCTGCACCTGCCACATGCCCTAACCTCCTCCGCCATCCTCAAATTCCAAATCCTAAATAACCTTTCTCGCAGCCTTTTTCCCCAGCAAAATAGCACTTGCTGCCTCTTCCGAACATGTATACGTCCACCTCTCTAATAACTAGGGAGGCACTGTCCCATTTTTCTGCAGCAGTACAAATTTGTGCCTTTTGTTCCAATTACTTAATATGCCCCCTTTCACTTCCAAAGGTGTCCCATTTTAGTCCACAAAACACATGGTCACCCTGTGCTTAACACATTACTTTGAATTGCAGTTATTTGTGTAGAATTTTCTCTCTTCTTCTACCTAGGCTATATGGTTACTTGCAAGCAAGTACCAGGTATCACCTTCAGTAACTATCTACGAAGCATCTAGTGTGGCAGATGTTGCACAGTGTTGTTCTGAATGTCCCGACTTTCCCCTGCGCTTTGTGCCATGACGCTGTTAGGCCAGATCACCTCGCAGCTGACACAGACTTTGCTGATGAGAACGAAGTCTACCACTTGGAAAACGTCCTTTTCATGTTGGTTTCCTGTAGAAACAGACAGTACAGAGGATACCTGAGACAGAATAAATACATACATACATACATACATACATACATACCTACCTACGAGAAGTGACTACTGGGCCCTCCTCTTTTCTTTACCGAGTCACATCCAAAGTTTGGGGTCTGGGCATTGCGAGAAACCCACCAGGTCAGCGAAGCCCAGAGCCCTGGCCCACTCTCCAGGCTAGTGGACAAGAGGGGGGAGTGGCTGTGTCAGTCTGGTCCGTGTCTAGGATTTTAGACCCTATTTTCTTGCTGCAATCATCACATTACCTAGTTACTAAGGGGGCAACCTTCTTTCATTGACATTGGACCTACCTAAAGTCAGTGCAGCAACCTGGCCACCACCAACTAGAAAGACACTCAGTAAAAGCTTAATGAAAGAAGTCGGTAGCACAGTTACTAATGAAAGCCGTGGGAAAATGTAACTTACCTAGCTGATAAAGGCTAATGGAAATAAAATGCTCAAAACCTGTGATTTCTAGACTGTTCTTCCAACTCAACCATCACATTTAGTAAATGCTTCTTTTAAATCTCTGGTCTTTATAAAAGTGAAATCTCTTTTCACTCCCATAAGGCGTTAGGCCTTCGTAAGGTAGGCTCAGTTTTGACATCTGATCCTCCAAATGTGAAATGTTCTTAGAAAATGAACTGTGACTCATACATTCATTACAATAAATTTTATAAGACTGATTTTATTTTCAAATTTTTGGAAATTGTTTTAGAAAAAAAAATGACAAGAACACATATAAAAACTTAAATCTTTCACAGAACTATGAACTCTCAGCAAAGAAAGGGACTTTTGAAGTGTTTGAGTCCCTCTCCTGGAATCACTTCTAAAATGTTCCTCCATCATGTGACTAGCCTCCTCAAATCTTTCCTACGTTTGATGTATTTAATCTAATAAAGCGACAAATAATTTTTAACCATTTAAAACAAAAGAGAGTAAAATGAGGGAGACAGGTCTCTTGTGTTATGTTTTTAGAGAGAAGTCACATCCTTGAAGGAGCTTTGTAACATGCAGAACACAGGACAGGCTTCAAAAACAACAAAACATTCTGTGCACTTGCATTATTTAAATGTGAACAGCTGCTGTTATCTTCCTCTATAAAAAGTGGCAAGCCAGCCTGGCCAGTGTGGTTCAGTTGGTTGGGCACCATCCTGTGCACCGAAAGGCTGCCGATTTGGTCCCCGGTCAGGGTACAGGTTGGGTCCTCATTGGTGTGTG